TACTTTTTCTTTCATTCCTTGTATTGGAAATCTGTTTTTACTCTGGCTTTTGTGTTACCTTGGTTTTACAGTGTTTGACTCTAGGGCCTCATATATTCAAGGCACATGTTCTATCACTGACTACAACACTGTCCCTTCTAGTATAACTAGTATAATCTGTTCTTAGTGATCAGTTCAATTGCAGATTTATTTTCCAAGAGCTTTTTACTTTATAGATTTTTCCCTTATCTTTCTCATTTTAATTTCACTGATCTCAATTTGTACTTTTATTATGTGCCTCCTCCTTTTCTTGGCTAAATCTGCTCTTAGTATACTAAAGTTTATCAGCATAGTTTATCAGTCTGAAACAGGTGTTCTATTCTTACGTAAATTTTCAGTGCTGTACATTTCCTTTGAAGCTACCCTTATGTGTAGGGCAAGAAGCCTGTATTGTTTTTATTTTTCATTTAGTAATTAATTATGATTTAAAATTTTCCTTAAAAATTCTCTTTAATCCATGGGCTATCTTATGGTGTGTTGTTCAATTCATAAGTATTTGATGATTTCCTGTTACAACCCTTATTGTTTATTATTTCCCTAGTTGTATTACTATCAGAAAACATACATGGTAGGTTTTCAGTCCTTTAATTCTTTTCCTCTGGGTCTGTTTGGAAAATGTTCTATGGTATCTGGCTGTCACTCCATAATGTTCAATAAATATTTGTTGGATCATGCTGTGTTATAATGATGTTTACTTCTCTATCCTTACAGGTATTGATTTTAGAGATTGTTGTTGTTATTTTTAAAGAGAGGAATGTTAGTTACGAAGTACAAATTTGAATTTTTCAGAGATTTCTAACTTATAAGTTTTGCTATATAGTTCAAAGCTATGTTTTAATACATATACATTTAGCTTTACTATGTATTTTCATTGAATTGATCTTTTTATAGTTATAGAATACCTCTATTTGGTCCACACAGTTATCTTTGCTTATTAGATATTAACCTACATTAATTCTATTGATTAGTGTTTACATGTTAGGCTTTTGCTCTGATTTTACTTTTAACCATTTGTAATTATACAGTGAATGGATTTTTATATAACTAGCATGTAGTTTGGTCTTTTTTTTCTGTCTCAAGTTTTTTTTTCTATCAGTGTGCTTACATAAAACATTTATATTTAATGTAGCAGCAGATGGTAGGGTTTAAGCTTTCAGTTTATGTATGCTTCTTCTGTTTCTAATATCTTTGCTTCCCCTTTATTGTCTTCCTTTCCATTTATTGAACAGTTTTAGTTCATCCCACTTTAACTTATATGTAGCCAACTTTTTCCTAAGTGCACCTTTGTTTTATAAGAATTATTTACTTTATGTATTCAAGTGCACACACTGTCCTCAGATGCACCAAAAGAAGACATAAAATCACATTACAGCTAGTTGTGAGGCACCATGTGGTTGACTGGGAATTGAACTCAGGACCTCTGGAAGAGCCGTCAGTTCTCTTAACTGCTGAGCCCTAAGTGCTTTATTAAAATAAAATTCACATTCTATACATTTTACCATTCCATACATTCCATACATTCACCAGTGCCCTAGGTACTCTTATTAAGATAAAATTCACATCCCATACATTTTACCAATCAAAAAAATATAATTTAATGTTTTTATTTATTGACATACTTAACATTAAAATAATTTTATTACCACTTCCTGTTAAGAAATTTTATACACCTTATCTGGGACTATTTCAAATCCAACAGATTCCTCAAAGCTAAAGGCAACTGCTAATGTCTCTGTTTGAATAGATATATTTGTACCAGACATTTCATATAAATAAAATCATATAACATATGGTATTTGGACCAGCTTCTTTCACTTAGCATATATTTTCAAAGTCTATCCATGTTATGTGTATATTTGACCATGATCCTTTTGTTGAATATTATTTCAGTTTGTGGACCTATAGCGTTTTGTTTATCCATTAATCCGCTGACTACTTGCAATTCCACTTTGGAGCTATGATGATTAGTACTCTTATGAGACACTTTTGAACCTGCTTTTGCATGGGCATACTTCATTTCTCTCGGGTATATATTTCAGAGTGGAGTCGTTGCATTAAGTTGTTACTTGGGGTTTAATATCATGAAGAATTGTTTTCCAAAATGGTGATACCATTTTATGTTCCTTGTGATAGCAGATGAAGATTTTGTTTTCTTCATATTCATATTAATATTTGTTATATAATATAATATGTTTGCTATGATTGTTATTCTAGTGTTTTTTTAAAAATTACCTCTACAGTGCTGTTGAGAAGGCTCAGTGGGTAATGGCCTTTGCTACCAAGCCTGATGTTTGATCCTCAGAACCTACATGGTGGAAAGACAGAATTTACACCCACGATTGTGCTCTGACTTTCGTATGTGTGCCATGTCATGCATACATGTACATGTGTATGCTCATACAAACAAAAATATTTTTAAATTCTTTTTATTATTACTTTTAATTATGTGCATGTGTATATTTGAATACAGCGTCCATAGAGGCCGGAGAGTTTTGGTCTCCTGAAGCTTGAGTTACAGTTGGTATGAGCCACCCAGCATGGGTTCTGGGAATCAAAATTGGGTCCTCTGCAAGAGCAGTACTCACACTTAACCACGGAGCCATCTCTGCAGCCTCATAAACCCCCCAAATTTAATTTGCCTCTACATAAATAGATAACCATATCATATAGTACCGTAGCTTTGTTTTTCAGTCATCAAAGCATAATTCATGAAAGGAGAATAATCTGCTGTATTCCCGGATACTGTCTGGTTGTATTTCTCCATTCCTGATAGTCTAGGTTTTTAATCACCTCCTTTTTCTTTAAAGAACTTCCTACATTAATTTATGAGGACTGTCTGATGACTTTAAATTTTGTTAGTTTTCTTCATCTGAACTTTGCTCATGAAAAATTTAACAAGGAATTATGAATTGAAAGTTTTGTTTTCTTGAAGAGTGCCACTGTCTCCTGGCCTCCTTTGTTTCAAATGAGACACATTCTGTCCTTTGAATGGCTGCTCCCCACGGTGAGTGTTAGGCCTCTTTGCTGCTTTCATAGTTTCTTTGTCTTCAGCTTCCATAAGTTTTATTTCATTGTTTCAACATAGATTCTTCTGGGTTTATTTAATCTGATTGTTTCTGAACTTCTTTTAATTGTAGAGCTTTGTCTTTTAACAAATTTGGGCCATGTCTAGCAGTTATTTCTTAAATTGTGCTTTTATTTTATTTTATCTTTTCTAAACTTTTGCATGTGCATATGTGCTTGTCTGTTCATATCATGTAGGTAGAGGTCAGAAACAACCTTAGGTATTAGTCTTCACCATTCACCTTGTTTGTGACGGGGCCTGTCTGTGTTCTGCTGTATACAGCTGACTCCATGACCAGAATCTTCCAGGGGTACTCTTATCTCTGCCTCATATCTTGCAATGGGAATAGGATTATAGCCTCATGCTACTGTGTCCAGCTTTTACTTGGGTCTTGTGGATTCAGACTCATGTCCTCATACTTGTGTGGCAACTGTTTCACCCACCAAGCCATCTTTCCAGTTGGTCAGCTGTTTTTAGTGTTTTATTGTTTTTCTTCTTGAAGCACTGATGATATATTACTGTTATTTTGTTACTGACCCCATAAATCTCAAAAACTGTTAAATCTTTTTGTTTGTGTCTTTGGTGTTTGTTATTCAATTTGAGTAACGTCTGTTGGACTGTTCTCATGTTTAGAGATTTGTTCCTGTATTATCTTCATTCTGCTCCTAAGCTATTTGGGGAGGTCTTACTTGTGCTTATTTTCTTTGGTTATCCACTTGTTTATTAGAACATTGTTGTTTTATGATTCGGCATGGTATTGCACACCTGTAGTCTCTGTACGTGGGATGCTAAAGCAGAAGTATGATGAGTTTGAGGCTACCATTGGCTACATAGTGAGATTCTGTCAAATGTATATATTTGAGATATATTATATATATAATTGTATAAGATTATATAATATAACATTATGTATGAATGTATATAAATAAATATTTAAAAATTTTTTCTTTGGCTTATATTTCTATTTCTAGTTCTTTCCAGAGACTTATTTTTACATTTGTGTCAAGAGTATTGATGATTGTTGGAGCACTATTGAAATAATTATTTTAAAAATTGTCAGGATTATGATATCTGGATTATTGCAGAGTTATTCTTTTGTTGATATTTTCATGACTCAGGTTATCTAGTAATTCGGAACTATGTCTTTGACATTTTATATATCATGAGACTGGATTCTTATTATCTATTTTATTTTAGAAGATAACAACCTGCTTTGCTTTAGAATAACATTCTTTTTCAATTTTATGTACTTCAGTTCAAGTGTCAGCTTAGTTTCCAGATCCCTTACACATTCATCTGGCCTTTCTTACTTCTGGGCTGTCTGTTCCAGGCTAGAACCTGGGCAGGATTCCACCTGTAGTTCAGTTTCTGGAGCTTTTGCTATCCTAATGCTAGTCATTTCACAGGAGTTGGTCAGGTTGTCCATGATCATCCTATGGACCAGTTTAAAGAACTGTCTTCTCTAGGCTCCTCCTCTCCATATCCCATCTTAGTCTGTAAGAGATGATAAGAAAGTAAGTACCTCTTTCCTGTCCTTAGCTTAATTTACAGTAGCTGGCAAGGCTCATCCCAAGCAACCAGTAGTCAGGAGAATGGTGTGTTTTCTTTTCATCTGTGTGCAGAGTAGAGCAGGAATAGTCAGAATCATGTGTCAGGGCTACCTATTTCTCAGTGTACCTCTGCCATCTACTCTCAGTATGTGTAGGTCAATAAACTTCTCTATGCTTCAGATGTCAGTAATGCAGGAATGCTACTATCTACCTCATAGACTAAATTAAAATGAAATAATATACAGTGGAATTAGCACAGACTCAATAATAAGGTTTTAGAAATTATATCGCCTACTTATATTAGTACTAAGGACAATTATTAAATATCACCCTTTCTTGTATTATAGGAAACTCTGCTCTTAAAGATAAAGAAGACCAATTTGGGAGAACACCACTTATGTATTGTGTGTTGGCAGACAGACTGGACTGTGCAGATGCTCTTCTAAGAGCAGGAGCAGATGTCAACAAAACTGACCATAGCCAGAGAACAGCCCTCCACCTTGCAGCTCAAAAGGTGAGAAGTCAAGTTACCTTAAAGAGGAGACTGTGTGGATGTTTGTTACTTTACTGGAAAAACTGTGCAATGAACAAATAAATGACAAAGGAAAGACACATAGGCTTCTGGGCTTCTCTAACAATAATCTATAAACTGTGGGTTAAAATACAGCTAACTGGATCTGAGGACATAATTCACACACAATATCCATGTGTGGCAAGAAGACAAAGACTAAAAAGAAACACAACAGTGTTGCCAGTGGTTGGGCTTAGTACTAGAAACGAGTATGAATCTTTGTGCTTGGCTTTGTTTTTTCCGTCATGAACATTACTTTTACAATTAAAAGTTTCATTCCCTGTAGAAATTTGTGGTATTAGACCCATAAGGAAATTTTTTTTCTAGTGTACATTTAGCTTTTTAAAAATATAAAGTTACATTGAAAGTATGGATGTAATTTAAAATTCACTGTTACAAGAGTTCTGATTGATTGATTGATTGATTGATTGATTGATTGATTTGAGAAAGGGTCTTACTATGTAGCTCTGCTGCCCTGGAACTAACTATAGATCAGGCTGGTCTCTATCTCACAGATATCTGCCTGCCTTTACCTCCCAAGTGCTGTAATTAAAGTCGTGCACCAACCACTACACCAGGTTCAGAGTTCAGATTTTTAAGATAAGCCATAGTAAAAACATAAAATAAGAAGCTTCAAAGTTAAAGACTTGCCTAAAAACCATTTTCCTCCCATGAAGTTTTGGTTAATAAGACATTCTTCTAGTTCATGTTATTTTTCTTTTTGTTACGTTAGAATTCATATTTTTGTAATAAAAAACAGTGAACATTAGTTAGATTGAGCATAAACTATTAGTGGTATCTTTCACTTAAAAATATAACCAGACAGAGCTGACTAATTGAAGGGTTAGAAAAATAGCTCTCCATGTGCTGAATGCATAAATAGAGGCCGACATTGAGATCTGCTGCTTACTGTGCACTCACCAGTGAGGTGTGTCAGCCTGCTTCCAGTTACTTCTCCTGAACTGATTTTCGTTACAGTATTAACTTCAGTTTTAACTGCTACTCAAGGACTTATAATATTTCACCTTGGCTTGTCAACTAACTAAATTATTCCCTGGAAAATAACTATATTTACCTTGTTATCATTTAAAAATAGGAATGGCCAGAATATTATGAGTCATTTAGGTGTGAGACTCAAACTTTTAAAAAATGTATTTATATGTGTATTTGTTTGAGTGCTCTGTTTGCATGTACACCTGCATACCAGAAGAGGGCATCAGATCCCATTACAGATGGTTGTGAGCCACCATGTGGTAGCTGGAAATTAAACTCAAGACTTCTAGAAGAGTAGCCAGTGCTCTTAACCCCTGATCAATCTCACCTGCCTGAGATTCAATTTTTTTTTTTATTGTAGATGGGAAGATCCTGACTAAGAAGATTTTTTTTTTTTTTTTTTTTTTTTGGTGGACAAGGTGAGGTAGGATGAGGACTTAAGTTGATGATCTAATATTATGACTTCCCAGAGAGTTAATGTGACCAGCATGGTCGACAGAGGACCTTGCCTCCTCAGTTAAGTTAGCTTTGTCAGATGCAACCCATTATTTTCTCTTGCTTCCTATTTTAGTGTTAATTTGGTTTATTGTTTGTTTGTTGTGTGGGTTATTTTTGTTTAAATGGGTGGTGTGTGTGTTTGTTGTTTTGAGACCGTGTCTTACAGTGAAGCATAGACAGATGTCAAACTTGTGGCAGTTCTCCTAGTGCTGTAATTAGGGATGTAAGCCACCATGCCAGGGTGCTTATTTTGATATTTTTTTAATTATTAAAATTCTTACTGTGTATTGTGTATACATGGTGTGTGTATAGACACACATGTCACAAAGCATACCTGGAGGTCAAAGTCAGTTTTTTCTTTCTACCTTGACTGGGTTTTTAGGATTGAACTCAGATTTGAGGCCCTCCAAACCTGTGCAGCAAATGTCTCTGCCTACTGTATTAATTGTTGTTCTACTGCTGTAATGAAACCAGTGGCCAAGGCCCCTATAGAAGAAAGTTTATTTGGGCTGATGGTTCAGAGACAAAATGAAGGCATGGCTCCTGTAACAGCAACTGAGAACTCACATCTTGAACCACAAACAGGAAGCAGAAAGAGGAAACAGAGTGTCAGAAGGCTCTGAAATCTCAGAGCACACCCCTAGTGTCGCACCTCCTTCAGCAAGGCCACACCTCCTAAGCATCCCCAAATGGTCACCAACTGGGAACCAAATATTCAAATATCTGTTCCCCTGGGGTACATTCAGCTACCACACCCACTGAGTCATCTTGCTAGCCTTGATATTTTAATTATGGTTTTAAATAGTGTCAGTGAAGAACTAGAATTAAGACTGACTGTTAGAACTTATATAGTTGATTACATACATTACAAATTTCATGTTCATTCATGGATCTCATAGTTAACACCTTCCCTTTGTTCTTGCTTTATTTTTTTTTTTTTACGTGCTTGCAAAGAGTAGTGCTATGTCTTTAAGTTATACTAGACTTTCTAGAGTAAGAGTGGGGATAATCTTTAGTACCCTGCTCTGCCTGGTCAAACCCAGGTGTTATGTTTGATTTTGCGCTTCCCACAAAGTTCCATTTTTAAGTAATCTGAAATAAACACTATAAGCAGGAATAAGGTGATCAAAATTCTTCCTTGTTATTGTTTTAGTTTTTTTGTTTTTCAAGACAGAGTTTCTCTGTGTAACTTTGACTGTCCTGGAACTCTCTCTATAGACTAGGCTGGCCTCAAATTCACAGAGATATGCCTGCCTCAACCTCCTGAGTGCTGGGATTAAAGGTGTGAGCCACTACCACCCAGCAAGAAATATTTTTTAAGAATATATAGAGATGGCCGGGCAGTGGTGGCGCACGCCTTTAATCCCAGCACTTGGGAGGCAGAGGCAAGCGGATCTCTGAGTTCGAGAGTTCGAGGCTAGCCTGGTCTACAGAGTGAGATCCAGGACAGCCAGGGCTACACACAGAGAAACCCTGTCTCGAAAAAACCAAAAAAAAAAAAAAAAAAAAGAATATATAGAGATAAGTCCCACATCCGATAAAACACCCTGTTTCTGAGAGCACACGAACACACACACACATACACACACATACCTTCTCTTTAAAGACTTACTGCTCCATTAAAGAATTAAAGACTTAATTAAAGAATTAAGACTTACTGTTAGAACTTATATAGTTGATTACATACATTACAAATTTCATGTTCATTCATGGATCTCATAGTTAACACCTTCCCTTTGTTCTTGCTTTATTTTTTTTTAACGTGCTTGCAAAGAGTAATGCTATGTCTTAATTCTTTGCATTAAGTATCTAGGATTTTCCCATATTAAAATAAACCAGATATGATCTCCCAATGAAAGACAACCAGCTTGTACAAAGAGTATTACAGTCAGCCTGGCTTTTTCCTTTAAAGGCTTCTTCCACATTGTAATCCAGATGATACAGCCCTAACAGTCTTATGAGGCTGAAGAAACCAGGGATATAGATGGCACTGCTAGGGTAGAAAGAGTAAAGCAAGAGGAACCAAGAAATCCTGCTGCTGATTCCATCCGGTCAACAGTTAAACTGTCCCACAGGTAGAGTTTGGTGAAGCCTAGCAGTAAACAACAGCTGGGAGGTAGAAAGGCTGAGCAGTTATTGTTTCTAAATTATCCATATTTTCTCTCATGGTAAGTCTTTTAATCCATAACAAATTGATTTTTGTGTAGGGATCCATTCTCACTTGAAAATGTATGGCTAATTAAGTTTGGCTATATAAATTTATTAATTTTTAGTCATATAATACCAGCTGTGTGCTGGTGCAAGGTTTTTGTACAATGCAATCTCTATGCCTTTTTTTTTCTAATGAAAAGTCCTTTCTACAGTGGAGCCATTTAGGAAATTTGAAGTTACATGATTGAAGCATCTGAGGAGATTAACATGGCAATCAAAGCTTCTTTGAAAGAGGAATAAAGTGTAGGTGCATGATGAAGTATTACAGTCAAGCCAATGGAGAGGAGTTGAATCTGATAGATACACCGTGGAAATGCTGACTCAGCACATAGTTGCAAGACATTTTCTAGGTAGCCATGATTATGTAACTTGAGAGAGTAGAACAAGTAAGTCCTGCATGTCTGCTACAGGTTGAGGCTTTTAGTATAGTCCCCGTTAAACTTCCTTTCCTTTCATTTAGTGAACTTCTTTTCATATACTAGTTTATCCCATTTAAGATCTATGATCTTAGAAATATGCTATTTGGGCCTTCTACATAGAGAATTCCAGAGACCCTGTTCAGAAAACATACAAACCAAAAATCTGATATGATGGTACCTGCTTATAATCTCCATGCTGGGGATGCACAGGCAGGCACAGCCAGCCAGCCTAGCCTCATAGGTAAGCTCCAGACCAGTGTGAAAGCCTGTACAAAACAAGGTGGATGGCAGCTGACAAGTGACACCTCAGGTTCACCTCTGGCCTCCACATGCACACACATATATTTACTGTTTGTATAGCTACCAATTTTTGTGCATATGACCATGATTCATTTACAAAGGTAGATTTAAAATACTACATAACTGGTACTGTGTTGGAATACAAGATGGATAACTTTCTTACAGCTGGCCCATCTACCTATAATGAATGCATTTAGCATATAGCAACAATCGTAGCATATAAATAGTGACCTTCATTATTGATATCCATGCTCGTGTTATTATGTTTCTTTATAATACAAGACTATACTGTTAGCTTTTCTCAGGTTTAGTAGTACTCCGTTTATAACTATTAGTGCCTCATTATGTTGCATTGTAACGATAATGTCTCTTTTATGCTTGAAAGAAAAAGGAGCTGGAAATGCCGGGCAATCACCTTGATTTATTTATTTTTGAATCTCTCTAGATCTAGTACATTTAACATATTTCTTTAAGTGAATTTTACCCACCGCCAGTAAAGCTGATTTTATAGCTACAGTTCTAGCACAGTTCTTGCCACTTAATAGACAGCATTTGTTTAATAAATATGACTGAATCAGTAATTAATTTATTATGAAAGGTATGGGCTTCAGAACTGTTAA